CCCGTACCCCGGATGCGCCCCGCGGCGACCCCGTGACCCCGAGGCTTTCGGACTGGGTAGGAAATACGGTACTTTTTCTTATGCGGAGCCTGAGGCCAATCGCAGGTGTTCTTGACCTGTAGGCTGGAGATGAGGGGCAGGACAGGTGCTTGGGTGGAACGTGTATTTTAACCCGAACTGGTGGTGGTTTCAGATCTGGCCCATGGCAGCGGCGGATGAATGGATGCAGAAAGGCCCCTTAGAATGGCAAGATTACACTTACAAAGAAGTCAGAGTGACAGCGAGCGACAAGGAGTACAGAGGATGGCTTCTAACCACAGACCCCGTCTCGGCCAAGTGAGTCGGGGTGGGTCCTGCTCCCTCGGTCGCAGCCAAACGCAAATGAAAAGCTAATCATTCCATGTAGGGATTTCATTGCCCTTGAGTCTAAGTGCAGCTCACCGTGGATCACCTTGTCAGACCAGCCACGTGCGTAGAAATGACACTTTTTTTCTTACTGCATTTTATTGGAAAGTTTCAGACAGACACAGATGTGAAGAGAACAGTGTAACAAGCAGACTAACCTTACCCCTCCTTCCACGCATTTTAAAGCCAGTTGTAGGCATATAATTTTAAGTACTTTAATATATCTCTTAGTAGATAGGGACTCTTTAATAAATGTAAGCACAATATTATAACACCTAACAAAAGTAATAGTAATGTTGATGTTAGCTAAATCCCAGTCTGCATTCAGATTCCCCTGTCTCCAAAGTATCTTTTTATATTGGCTTATCAATTTGCTTGATAAATCTCTTAAGTATCTTAATCTTTAACTCTGCACTTTCTCTTTTTAATTTTCCATATCCCTTATTTGTTGAAGAAAGGGAGTCATTTGTCTGATAGAATTGAACACATTCTTGATTGAGTTTATTGTGTTATGATGATGTAGTTTATTTTTAATTGACTTGATTTTAGAGAGAGGAAGGGAGAGGGAGAGAGAGAAACATGGATTGGCTGCCTCCTGCACACCCGCAACCTGGGCACGTGCCCTGACCGTGGAATCAAACCCGTGGCCTCCTTGTGCCATAGGCCAATGCTCAACCAACTGAGCCATAACTGCCATGCTGCCATGTTAAACTAGTTATTCAATTTTTATTTAAAGATTATAGGACTATTTACACACTCTTTTTGTGTGAGTCAGTAGTAGAAACATTTTTCAGGAAGTTTTCTGTTTTAAGTTCAAAATTATTAGCATAAATTTGTTCTTAATACTTTATACTGCCTTATTCCTACTGTTATTTATATGTCTTTAAAAAATTTTTTTTTTAATTTGTTGATTGTAGAGAGAGAGGGAGAGAAACATCCGTTTGCCATTCATTGGTTGCTGCTTGTATGTGCCCTGACTGGAGATCAAACCCACAACCTTGGTGCATCAGGGCGATGCTCTAAGCAACTGAGCTATCCAGCCAGGGCCTTCTTTCTTTCTTATTAATCTTTCTGAGTTTTGTGAATTTTTTTTCAAAGAATCAACTTTTGACTTTCATTCTCTTATTGACTCGTTTTCGATTTTATTTTGTGCTTTATTATTTTCTTTGGTTTGCTTTGAAGGGGTTATTCAATTGTGTTTTTTTAACTCTAAAAGTTAAATCTGTACTATCTCTTCTTTTTAATACACATTTAAGGCATTCATAACTCTTTAATGCTTCCATTGCCTCCCACAAGGATTAGCTTTAGGCTGGACAAAAAGTTTAGATGTTTAGGACCCTCAATGAATGCTTACTGAACAAGTGAAAACATCTAGTGCTGAGAGGATTAATTTTAAAACAGAGAAGAGCATTCCCTATTATTCTAATGACTTGCTGGGGTTGATGCCTCTCATTCCATTGCTGCTTTCATAGTTTTATGGGCCTTTAAGTTTTTCTTTTGCAAATCCACTCTGAACTTACTTTTCCTCCAAAGTATCGTCCTCGTGAACTTCCTTGAAGATGGCAGCATGTCTGTGACCGGAATTATGGGACATGCTGTGCAGACTGTTGAAACTGTGAGTGAAGGGGACCATGAGGTGAGAGAGAAGCTGATGCATTTGTTCACGTCGGGAGACTCCCAAGCATACCATGTTGAGGATCTGGAAAATCGAAAGAACAGCCTAAAGAAATGGCTCGAGAAGAACCACATCCCTGTCACTGAACAGGGAGATTCATCCAGGACTCTCTGTGTGGCTGGGGTCCTGACCATAGACCCACCGTATGGTCCAGAAAATTGCAGCAGTTCTAATGAGATTATCCTGTCCCGTGTTCAGGATCTTATTCAAGGACATCTGGCAGCCTTCCAATGAGAGGCCAAGGACTATGGATCACTGAAGTAAGACTTCTTTTTTTTCCCCCCTTTATAAAATGTCTTGAACGTTAAGGCCATCATATTATGGGACTTTAAAGGCACACAGTGTGTGTGTTTTAATTTGTTGTTTTGGTAAAATCAAAGAGATGGACTATGAGTGCTAATAAACAAGTGAACTGTGGCAAGGATAACATCACATGCAACAAAATTAGCACAGGGACATCAGAATTGTTTAAATCTTTTCTTTTGATGGGGCTATATCTCCATTTTTGTTAGATTTGCAAGAACTGTATTTGGAACAAATGCAACGTTACATTCAATATAAAGTATATTAAGTCCTTTGCACTAACTATATTTGTCTGTTTAAAGATTTATTTATTGGTGTGATGATGAAACTGGTTGAAACTTGAAAGTTTTGACTACTGGTAAAAATCTTCACATAAGCCTTATTAACTCTCAAAGCCTTTCAAGTGAGAACGGGCTGATACCTGAGGAAAAAGGTAAGTGTAACAGGTATCCTGCGGCTGAATTCAACTCAGTTCCATTTCTCAGGTTAGGCTTCACTGAGGGGAAAGTGCAGGAAGTGTGCTTCGCTACCCCTGACCCATGGAAGCCAGTCAGGGCTTGGGCCCCATATGGAGGCTTCTGGCCTAGAAAGGCATCTCAGATTACTAGTTGGGGGATTTTTTTCATGGGCATGTCTAGAATGAACCCAAGGTCATTATTAGAGTAGAACTCCGAGGCCCTGACTCCCTAGGAGAGGGGTTAACAAAATTTGGGCCCTTGGGAGAAATCCAGCCTGTTGCCTCCATCTGTTAAAGTTTTATTGGAACACACTTACTAGTTTGTTTTATATGCACCTGCTGCTTAGACATAATGGCAGAGTTGAGCATTGCAAACAGAGGGCCCTTTACAGAAAGTCCTTCCTTCACAACTTTAAAGTCCCACGATCCTGTAAGTGAAATTTAGTGCACAGCCTTTCTGCCTGTGACCCTAGAAATGTCTTCGCAAAGCAAATAGGGGAAGGGAAATAAAATTAAACTTGGCATGGAAAAGATTGACAAACTGAGGCGGCCTTGGGAGGAGTAAACCATGTAGGCAATTATTCACAGCATTATTCGGGCTTGGTCCTTGGTGCAGGGACAGGTGCATTGGTGTTGGTAGATTTATTTGCTGTCCAACTAATGAGCTGAGGATAGAGACTCTTTCTTGGCAATTGAGTCTTCTGGTTGTTTAAACAATTTGCCTGAGTGCTGAAGAAGTTAATGATCTGGCTCTGCCATGGAAACCTGCCTGCTTGGGGAGTTTTCCCAGCCAGTTCCTCAGCTAAGATTCTCTCCCAGGAGTTTAACTCAACTGTTTCAGATCCCTCTTCTGGTTCCAGATGCCCAGAGGGAGATTCCTCCCCCAAGTTCGCTGCACTCCCTTGCCAAATGGAGGCAGTAGCCAGGGCAGCCTTTGAAAACAAAGGGTATCGAGAATGCTGTTCAAAACAAAGGTGATTCTCACTGAGTATTTTTTTTTATCCCCTTGGAACAAAGTTTCCAACCTTTGCACTGATTTCTTTCTATCCCATTGTTCATCTGATTTCCTAATCTCTCCACCTTTTCCTAGAGAAGTTGTTGCTGAAATAGGTTTTTCCATGAAAAGTTTTAAAAAAATCAATGGAAAATTTAAAACATTCACAGTCATATTGTTTGATGAGAACTGGTAGAAACGTCATGATGCCTTGAAGCAGATTCTAGAATGCTGGAGTCGAGTAAGGATTACTAAAATCCATGCCTACATTTTGGGAGAAATCAGAGCAGTGAAGGACTATAATTGCATATACTTAATTGCTTCTACTGCCAAATCTAATTGCGTTAACATACAATGATTAACATAAAAAGCTGCACATATTAAATATATACAACTTGATAGGTTGAAGATACCCCTGTGAAACCATCACCAGAGTGTGTGCTATAAGCATATCTATCACCTCCATAAGTTTCCTCCTGCCTTTATTATTATTATACAGTTGGATTTTATTGTTCAAACAAATTAAAAGATTTTTCTTTTATTAAAAAATTATTCTAGTACCCATACATGCTTTATACTTTTGTATATTACTTTCTAATCCTTTAAGAGTTGTTACATAATTGTAATCAATGTATATAGTTTTTAAGTTTTTGTTTGTTTTCATAATTTTAGTATTAAAGACTATCCTATTATGTTGATAAACCACACTTACTAAAACACTCCCCTAAATTTTGACATTTGTTGTTCTTTTTGTTGCAAAGAATATCTTCATGAATACCTTCATTGCCATTATCAACGACAATTTAAGTCGCCTACAAATGAAAGTACTATCAAAGCGTATAAACTTAGGTAGGTTTTTCCTTGTTTTTTTAAAAACATATCTTTATTGATTTCAGAGAGAGTAAGGGAGAGAGAAAGAAACATCAATGATGAGAGAGTCATCACTGATTGGCTGCCTCCTGCATGCCCCCAACTGGGGATGGAGCCCGCAACCCGGGCATGTGCCTTGACTGGGAATCAAACCTCGATTTCCTGGATCCTATGTCGATGCTCAACAGCTGAGCCACGCTTGGCCAGGCTTTCCTTGTTTTTTTTAAATGGTTTGTGCTGCTTTACTTTGATAAGAGCACTAAATAAGTATATATACAAATTTCATCAGACCCTTAGAGTATTAACATTTTGTTTAATTTTTGCTACTGAACATAAAATGGTGTTTAAGGTGTTTTGTTTATTAGTATTTCCCCATGTGTTTATTTCCACTGTGGGTACTGTTTGATTCATATCTTCATTTTTTAAAAAATCTTCATTTTCCAGAAATTATTTCCCCTATATTCTCATTATCTTGTCATATCTGTTTCTTGGCTTCTATCTAATTTTTACTCAAATAGACCCACTGACATTATAGCATACAGGTACACTGCAATTAACTTATTTGGACATGTTAGATTTACAGAAAATTTGCAAGAACAGGACAAAGAATTCTCTGATCTTTTCTCCAGCAAATGTTAACATCTTATTACCACATTTGCACTTCCATGTTTGTGTAGGAATGAGTTCATTTTTTCCTCCCTTTGTACTGTTTGAGAGTAAATCATGGACACAATGGGAAAATGAGTACATTCTCCTAAATGACTACAGTCAAAATAAGGAAATAAACATTGATATAGTACTGTGATTTAATACAGACCTAATCCAGATTTCACTTATCATCTCAATGATCTTCACAGACACGAAGTGTTTTTGTTCCTTGGTTCATGTACTGCATTCAATTGTCATGTCCCTTTAGTCTCCTTTAATCTAGAATAGTTCCTCAGTCTCTCTTTGACTAATGACAGTGACCTTTTAGAATACAGGCCAGTTATTTTGTGGAATAACCCTCAATTCGGGTGTTTGATGTTTGTTTACGATTGAATTCAGTATGCACTGGAACACCCTGGAAGTGATAGTGGGTTCTCAGAACATTATATCGGGAGGCCATGACATTTATTTGTCCCATTTCTGGTGATGTTTTATCTGTGATCGCTTAGTTAAGGTGGTGCCTGTCAGGTTCTTCCACTGTGAAGTTACTGTTTTTCTTTGTAGTATTCATACGTATTTTTAAAAAGAGCTTTATTAAGGTATTATTCACATAAAATCCATCCACTTTATGTGTATAATTCAGTGATTTTTAGTAACCTTGAGTTGTGCAGCGGTCATCACAATCCATTCTTTTTTTTTAAAAAACCTTTCCATTATCCCATCACATCCCTTTGCCCATTTGTAGTCGATTCCCATTCCCACCCTCAGTCCCAGGCAGAACATACAGTATATGTTCATTAGAGTTGATTTGGCAGATATTTTGCTTTCATTAGTCAAAATACATTCACATTTTCAGAGACAACCATGGAATAATTTATATTTGATTAGTAACTAGTAGCTAGACTTTGTAAGTGCTTACCTATCTCATTTTGTTTAAACATGGTTTCTCTGCCTTGGCACTACTGACATTTTGGACTGGATAATTTTTTGTTGGGGGTTATCTTATGCATTGTAGGATATTTAGCAGCACCCCTGGTTTCTAATCACTAGATGCCAGAAGTACCCTGTCCCCCCCAGTTGTCACAACAGCATCTCTAGATATTGCCAAATGTCCACTGGTGGGCAAAACCGACTTTAGTTGAGAACAAGTGGTTTAAAACACACAAAATTATATTTTCTCCTGTGAGAAAACTTCTTTATAGTCTTTGTATATGATAAGGTCCTGTATTTGTTATAGTTAATCAACTTCTATGGACAAATAAAGTCTTACTTGAAAGGTTAACAAATACTTTTGTTCAAATACATTTGAAATGCAAGGATAGAATGAGGTGAAACTTATTAAAATGGGACTCTTAGGAAGTAAATGAGTCATTTTGGCTAAGTTATCCTGTCTTTAATTTTTGTAGAAAAAAATAGCCATGAATAATCTCTTCTTTATCACATAAATTCATTCAACTTGAAAGGAAAATGAACTCCTTCTGGCCATTTCCAGTAAAACCTAGGTTGGAAGAGGTAGCAGTAATAAGGAATACTATTAATAAACCCTCACTGTCTGAAATGCTTCTGTTGAAAATGTTGATGTATGTTATTATACCATATTCAGCAATATTATAATATGTCAGGGTCATCATCCTAAACACTGATTCTCAATGTTGGTAGTTATCGGACTGGGCTGAATTTCTAAGGCCACCCCTTGGAACTTGCTTTTTCAAACAAACCTCTCATACTGGCTTTTGCTGCCATTTGTTTCTTTCCTTAAAAAGTGAAATAGTTCCAGTCAATCCACTCTAAGCCATCCTCCTCATAGGTACCTCACCCAGGCAGTGATTTCTGGCTTATTTACTCTATTAGCTGGGTTAGAACTGACTCAGGAATAGACCCAGGCTGGCCGAAACCGGGCAAAGAGGCCAGACTGTCTGTGCGAATAGGTTCATGCTTGGGTTGCCATCCCACATCTTTATGCGTCATAGATTCCGCTCATTCCTATAAGGGGCATGCGTGATTCTCCAAAAGAATTCTTTCTGCCTCTGATAAAATAAATTATTAAAATATCTAAGATTTTAAAGCACCCTAAGAATTAGTGATTGACTATAAATCTTATTTAAGACCAATCTTTTTGACACATTGTTTTGGAGATAACTCAGAAATAGCAAGAATAAAGTCTCACTGTGCTAATGACTCATCACGGTTAACTGTCCACATAGTCATTGCAGTGTCCCATTTGTGAGACTAAAAGACATGGGAGAAAGCTGTGAATCTGAAACAGTCTGAAACTATGGCTGGGACAATAAACTATCTGTGTTTCTACCCGAGG